TCAAACAAGTATACATTGCCCAGCAAAGCATTGCTTTACATTTTTGCCCAAGCACTTACAGTCATCCTATTTCCAAACAGCTCCAACTCTCAGTTCGGCATCCATGAACTTCCTGTCCAGTACAAGATCACAAAGGACAATGCAGACTTCAGCAACTGTTCATCTACAAGCTACAAGAGGGGGCCAGGGGAGAGAGAAGTAGCTTGATTTACTGTGTCTGAGTGTTTGTGGAGACACACACAGCTTACTAGCACACACAAGGGTGACTGCATAGCACTCTGCTTAAAAAAGGAGTCACTGTAAAACAGGAAGTCAAGTCCAATGCTCAGGGGACCAGCTGATTCTGCAGGAAACTGGAACTTTTAAACATCAAGGGGCAATATCCATTGTAAGTGATTTCATCAGTATGTGAAACAGCTTAAAATCCCTTTGACTTTAATATCACTTTAATGTTTCAATTACCTCCAGCTGCTTTTAGGTATAATTCATTAGGAAATATTGCATGCTGTATGAAACTGTTGCAGTGGTTGCATTACTAGACCAGTCAGCTAACCAGCCAGTAATGCACTGCTTGGCCAAGCATATCCTAGCTGCAGGGGGCACCTACATCACATTTGGTGTCCGACACCCTCCTCCTTCCAGAGCCACTGGAAAATGAGGATCAGGGTGACAGGAGATTTATATGGACAGAGAAAAGGTAAGTGAAAAAAGGGTGGCCCTTTCTAAAAGATTTGATATAAAGAAGGTAAAATATAATAATAAAAACAGTTTTGAAAGGTTCATCTCTGTTTGCCAATATTATGTTCCCACCAAACGAGGGGTCATATCATTGGCACAGGAACAGATCTAAAAGAGAGTTAAAAAGAGCTTCCCTGACCCACAGGAGCCATTTAAAGGCCGTTACAGCCTTAAACACAACCACTAAATTTTAAAATGTTATCAAATCCAGAACTGTTGCTCATCCCCATATCTGACTGCTAGAAAGGAGGAAGTAGTCATTAACCTTGTCCCCTACCCTCAAGAGGATATTAAGGTTCATCACTGGAGCATTCGGTTGGTCAACTTTTTACAGATTCAAGGGCAGTTCAACTTTTCTTTTATCCAAATGGTCATAAGTAAAGCAACGATGCCCTTATGACTGCACTAACATTCAGATTCCTGACACTGAAGAATATGTATGTGCAGAAGCAATGCCCTGTATTACCCCTCCTCCAATTCTTTGCTTTAATCCACTGCACATTTTATTCCCCTTTACTCGTTAGCGCAGGTCTTTAAACTAGGAAATTAAGGCAATATTAAATCCATTTATTTTGCATTTTTATGATGCTGTGCAGAGTTTAGTGTTGTATTAGTTTTGGCTCCTAAACAAGGGGGAAAAGTACTTGTTCCATTGCCTACATCAATAACCCTTCACATCTCTACTGCATTGTTTGAGAGCTGCATTGTTTCAGAGCTTAAAGCAAGTAAAGAAGTACCTGGCACATTAGACTATTCTGAGACTTTATTCTCTATATTACCAGCTGTGCCTTCATCACTTCATATCCAATCACAGATCTTTTTTTTTTTTCCTAAGCGTTTTGTGAATTTGGCAGACATCCTTGATAAAAGTGCCTACTATATTGCCTGCAAAGCAGCTGTACAAAATAAGGGTACTTCTAGATGGTTATAATCTAATAGAGTTATGTTTGTAAGATTTTAATATGCCTAATTTAGTCATCAATCTGTCGTCTTTTTGTTTTGCTGGAATATTTAATCCATGTAAATTCAGGAGGTTATATTAATTCATGGTTGGGTTGGCACTGGTTTTTTGAAGTCTGTTAAGGGAATGGGGGCTGAGTTATATGTTGTTCATCCCTCTAATGTTTTACTATCTTGGTCTTCTCAGCCCCTTCGCAGCATCCAGTGTGACTGCTTAAAAGTTATTTTTTCACAATGCGTCCTAAATATTATTGGCTTCCTAGACTGAGGAAATGCTTCCTTCTGTCTGCAGAAGACTGATGGCATTCTCTCAGTCTGGCTAAAGTCACTTAACTGGAACTCAAGAATGGCTTTTTATTATAAAAGGTGGTACTTTGCTGTATATTGTAACTTGCCAGGATGAAAATGCATCATCAAAGTAACGCTAAACTCAGGAAGTAATTCTTAAAAATGCCTTTGAGTATCTTAACATTTAACAAAAATGTATCCTATTTGTGTATCACACAGCTGTAGATCCCCAAATCATCTCTGAATTTGTGGTGGCACTGTCCTTTCTGTTCTGACCTTCCTACTTTTGTTCTCCATGTTACTTTTGCTCCAAGCTCGCTCCCGTGATCGACTGAGATTTTAGTCCATCACAGGAGCAAGCTTGGATTGGTGGCTACTTTACAACACACACAGGGACCATGGGGAACAAAAGTAGCCACCCTCCATAACATATATATGGAAGAAAAAGCATGTACAACAAGGTAAAATCCAATTGGAAATTACTTTGAGATAAGAATTTCAATCTTACAATCCAGGCCTTATCTAGCTGATTTGGAAACATTCTCCAATTCAGCTCACTTTCCAGTTCAGTTATGTTGTACTAGAAAGTTCATTTCTCATGCCTTCTCCAAACTCTTTACCCTTTAGTGAATAACCCTGTTTATTTTACCTGTGTTAATTTACTTGAGATGTCAGCATGACTTATAGAGAGCCAGAAGAACTCTCAAAACCCTTGGACTCTATTATGCAAATTCTGACCAGAAACCCTGAAATCATACACCTGCACTTCAATCATTGGACAGAAACCACGCGGGGCAGCCTCACTGATTATTATGGAGACAAAAATCACGAGCTCATGAGTGCAGACTCTGCTTAAAATTTAGCAGGACATAATGTCCTGGGTTTTTGGGGCTCTTGGGGCACTGTATGTAGAATTTGATCCCCCCTGATGCCTGCTGTACCTCATTGACCATTGATGATGCAACATTCATGAGTGTTTAAGTGCAGGTTCTGCTTCAAATCTAACAGAACAGCATTCTCTGGAATTTTGGGGGTCCTAGGGCACTGTATGAAGTATGTGACCCCCCCTTCCTATGTGTCAGCTGTAAAATGTAAAAAATTAACACAGAGCATGATAAGGTTTCTAAACTTTGAGCTTGCAAAATAATTACAACACCAGAGCATTCTATAACATGTGTTCTATAAGAGCTAAGTGTTGGCATATATTTTATCTAAGACAATTAGGCTGTTCACTCAGCTTTGCTGACTTTCATTATCCAATCATGTGCAAGCAAAAATATTATTTTATTTCATGTTCCTTGCTTGTAAATTATTTGCAAAGTGAATTTTCACCACATTAACTAAGCTAATGGAAAATTCCCCTTGCAAAGTGAACAGACTATTTGATTTTAGTAAATCAACGCCAATGTGTCAATCGGGAAGCATCACACTTCCTCTAGTTTCAGTGTCAGATGTTCTTTCTGTAGCAGTTTTCCTGACCCCTACCTCATCCCATCTTACAGACATCTCTCAATATCCTCCCGTTCTTTCTTATCCCTCTTTACTACCAATAATCCTGTGTGTGTCAGTGCTCCATCCACAATCTGTCTCTGTCAGTCTTGCTCACATACTCTGCCATTGTCTGTGTCTGACACTATTGGATTTCCCTGACCATCCCTAGTCTCTCAGCAGCGACTTAGCTCCAATTAAAAAGCAGCTGTTGTGACTGTGTCTGTGTGACAGCCATAAAACTGGAGAAACCTGTTTAATACAAGCCAATCAAATAAACAAATTCTCATCCTGCCCAGTGAAAAAAGCCATAAAACCCGAGCGCTCGTTCTAGGAGTATATTAATCATGGACTTTCTTTTTTCTCTTAATTTGTCATCTTTGTGTATTAAACATAAAAGCACGCCTGACCTTTTGCAATTATACAACTTGTCTTAATAATAAATTAAAATGTATACTTAATAAGTTAGTCCATGGGAAAAAACACGTTGCTTATAACAACTGCATTGGGTAATTTATTATTACAGTTTGAAAGGAGGGATATAGATAGACTGTTCAAAAGATGATTGATAGATAGATAGATAGATAGATAGATAGATAGATAGATAGATAGATCGATAGATCGATAAATAGATATTAGACAGATAGATTGATAGATTGATAGATAGATAGATAGATAGATAGATAGATAGATAGATAGATAGATAGATAGATTAACATAAGATAGATTGTAAAGATATGTGTTAAAGCTGCAAAAACTGTAGCTGAGTAAATACATAAAATAATATTTGTTTGTACTATACCACTTTTGCATTTGCTGCAGAGTTTATTATTTGGCATTAATATTTAGACAGGATAAAATAAAGTTATCTATAACTTTATAAGGTTTTATGATTTTTTATGACTCATGAATTCATGAGCCAAAATGAAAGGACGTTGCCCACTGCAACCAATAGGATGTAATTCTCCTAGTGCAGGTCAGTAAAGGGAAGACTCTGGTTGCTTTAAACATTTCAAGCACATGTCTCTTCATGCACTACAAATATACTGTATAAGGCTCTGCAAACCAAAACCATTTTTGTTTAGTCTTAGGCCTCATTTACACTTTCGGGAAAGGGGTGGTAAACACAAGTGGTTGATATACACATTTTTACTGCCCCAACTGTCTACCTAAAACCTACCATGGTGACTGCTCAAGTTAGTACACATGCTGCAGGGGGTACTTCTATGGTCCATTTAGAATGGACCATAGAAGTCTTTTCTAGATCACAGAGAGACCCCCCAACCACAGCAGACACACAAGTAGGGGTCCCTCTATGTCCTGAACCCTTATGCAGGCAGTGTGAAACGTGTTAGCAGTGGGCTCAGTCAGATTTAATACTTTGCTCTTCGTTATTGGTGATTTCATAGCTGCCTGCTGAACTTCAGAACATTATTATAAGACAGAATAATAAAAAAAATAGTTCCCTGTTATTTACAGAGACTAAACATTCTGTTCAGAGCAACTTAAGAAACATAAGAATGTACCTTCTTTCAGCATTCCGACTTTTAAACACTTCATGAAGCGGCAAGCTTGGCAGGACTTGCGTCTGCGCTTTGTGATTTCACATTCGTTCGTGGCCGGGCAGCTGTATTCTATGTTTCCTGGATTGTAGAGAAAATTCAGAGCAAGTGAGACTTCACACATCATATGGCGGTGGAGATTACATCACAAAAAAGTAACGTTCATTAAAATACTATACGAAGATCTCACATAGGTGGTATTTAAAAAAAAAAATGGGAACAGTATCAACAAAGATATTACAATAACATAAAGTAGAACTGGATCAAACATTTTTAAATTTTGGATAGAGTAAGCAAGGGTTATAAACCCAGATGTTATTTTGCCCTTCGTGTCCAAGTAGGAAGATTTCCCTTCACTTCCTGTCCGATAGCCACAACTGGAATGAAGAGGAATCCTCTGAAAGTAGGGTCATCAGAACTAATGTCCTAATTGGAAGATTTCCCATATATTCCTTTTCTGATGACAACCTAAAATGTGGGATTTTCTTTCACGATCACCGGAACAAATTGTGAGGAAAAATCTCAGTTTGCTTCACTTGAACTTTAAAGGAGAACTATGAGATGAGTGATTTCCACTCACCTTATAGTTCTAGCCGACCTGTGACAATGAGACTGTCACAGGTCGGCTCAGTAGATCGGGAGGTGAGCGAACACATACCGGGTTCACTCACCTCTCGATCCTGTCATGGCTCTCTGCCGTGACAGGGGGAGGGGCTGGATTCCCCTCTCCCCGCTCCGATCTACCAGCCCTGCTGGCAGAACGGACGGGGCGGGTACAGCTGGCTCTGCCTCTAGATAGGCAGAGCCAGCTGTCACTCATGCAGCTGGGTGGATCCGCTCCAGCTGCAGCGTCTCAGTATACCGCGAGCTGTAGCTCGCGGTATACTGAGCTTAGGGTAACGGGAGGACGCTAGTTTGTGTCCTCCCGTTACCCTAAGGAGAACTATGGGGAAAAACACTGACCCCATAGTTCTCCTTTAAAGGACTGAAGAGGTATGAATGTTCTGAATGTTGTCCTCTGCTACACACTGATCCAATGGCTTCAGTACTTTCTGAGTCACTGACTGGAATAAGAATGCAGATGGGGAGTTCTGAGTTTACTGCAACTTTACTGAGCTACATACTCATTCCGAGCTAGTGGCTTAGATGGTGCTGAAGCTAATAGGCCTGGCATCTAGCATTTTCAGAAAGAGGCCAGCAATGGCAATCCCTGTACTGTATCACATAGATAAAAAGTGTAGGTGGAACACTGGATCCTTGTGTAGACAGATGTAATTCTGAGACAGAGGCAGCTTTCTAAATACTGATGTGTCTGCATAGGCCCTCGGAACAATGACCATTAGAACAGGGCAGAGATGATGTGGTTGAAACAATGGTGAGATAAGAGTGCTGCATATGTTCCAATACTAATAACATTTTATTAACTTTAGCCCTGATGAAGGGGGATCAGTAAAGCCTGAAAAAAATTATGAACTGGGTTTTCAATTGCATCAGCAGTGCTCTGGTCTCTCCACTGTATTGCATCACGATAGGGATACTAAATGCAGTGCAATTTGGACAATAAGGAGCATCATCACATTAAAGGGTCATCACCCCACTCCCCTGAGGTTTTTCTCTGGTCATCAAAAACTGTGGCATTTCTGACCTATATGTGCTGCAGTGTCAGTGGTTTGGATGGTACTGAAGCTAATGTGTAACAGTATAACAGCAAAACAACTAGCATTTCTGATATCTGGATTTGGATTGAGGCCAATGTCTCTGAAAGCATTGAGGGCAGAGACAGCCAGGGGTCTAGTGTTTTCTGAAGGAAGTACTTAATTGCAGCCCCCCCATATTTCTTTCACTACCAAATACAAGGCACACAAATTCTTACCCTTTTACAAAATTTTACAGTTTTACAAATATAAAGCAGCAGACGCTGCTGCTCAGTAGAGGCAGGAATACGCAAGGTTTTTAAAAGTAAAATAAATAAATTTGCAGCACACTAACAAAGTCTTTTTATTTATTTCACAATGCTTGTTCTGAATACCTAATGTGATGCTGGTGCCTTTAGATCTCCTTCAAGCTTTGCAAATTTTAAACAAATTTTTAGAAGTAATGAAAAACATTCTAATGTGTTAATGTCTAGGAAGCACTTAAATTTATATCAACTCTTATAGTCAACAATTAATTGATGATTCTATAGCCAACTGATTTTGAACTGTGAAGTGGTCAGTTGTGGGTTAGATTTGTCAAAATGTTATTTAAGTTCCTACGATAATTTTACTTTTATTTATGTTTTTCTACTTTTTAAGAATGTTTTAGTAACCTTTTACTGTATTAACTTCCATGCAGTAGTAAAAAAAAAAAAAGACACTTGTGTTCTTTTCTCTCTCTTTGAAAGTCATTGTTTCAGTGACCAGACTACAGCAGTCTATTCTCTGAAGCCTGTGCAAGACAGCTGGTGTCCTCTTTGGATAATACATGGAGGAGGCTTGCTGGGGGCGTAGGTCAAGCTGTTGGTCCAGACATCTTGCAACAAAACAGTATCCTCTCCACGTTTGCATACTTCTTGCTGACGTCCTTCTCTACAGCAAACTTAATGTTGCAAGTTAAAAGGTTAATAAAGCCACAACTGTGATTTATTAAAAAGTGGACGTCTTGTTGGTTGAGAACGAGGTGGTGAGTAATGCACAGCTCATTTACAAGGGAAAGATATTTTGCAGGGCCTTGTCTTCCTCAACTCTCCTTAGTTTTGTAACCCTTCCCCCCTCGTGATTAAGTGCATTAGTATCTTAATGAAAATGCATTTTGTTTATTGGTCTCTCGGGAAGGAGGAGGTCAGCTCAGCAAATGCATAAATTGTCAAGAGAGACAGTCGGAGCATAATTGCAATCTTACATCTCCTTGTTTGCAGCTCCCAGGGTCCATCAGTGGCCCCCCAGAAAACATGTGCCCATTTTAGTAATTAGCATAGAGTCTGCCGGGGACCTGAGCATTGATGAAATATTTCAGAGTTAATCACACTTTGTAAACACTGATTCATATTGACTTCCTTTCTGCGGACTGATGGCTCCTCATTAAATATCACATTAGCGGATTGCAGAACTGCATCGAGAGTCAAATGCTCAGCTAGTGCTAATTCGACGGGAAGAGACGGAGACGTGCGTTTCTTGAAAATGTGTTAAGTGGCCATGATAAAGAAGTCTGTCAACAGTGAAGCATTAAAGATAAGGCTGCCACAATTTCCTATATATTGGCAATCTGTTGTAGGAGGCCGTGTAAAGGCCATAGGATTGGGAGATTGGACAGACGGAACACAATCCTGGAGCTTGGTTCTCACCTCAGATACTCTCCTATATTAGGTTAACTACTTGCACTCCACTTATTTATTCTTTATCTAGTTTTCTTTATGTAATCTGTTTGGACTGGAAGGTAATTTTATTGTGATCAGCTGTCCATAGTTTAATGTATTTTTCAACTCAAATGAAATTTCAGTTGAAAAGTCAAGGAAAAACATTGTTTGATGCTCTAGATGTTATTCAATTACTAATTAATCAACTGACTATTCAAACAATAATGTAGGAAAGGACTGATTAAAAATTAAAAATTTACTATGTGCTTATCGTGTATGTAATGATCATGTCTTTGGTCCTTTTGGTCTGTGAAAGCTTTTTGTTATATCTGACAAAAAAAAAACCTGTTGATCGCGCTAGAATTTAAGCAAGCTCTGAACTTCCTGTGCTCTCTATCTCTGCTGCACTGAAATCTCAAGCAGTGTTATCAGCTCTGCCCAGATCACATCTGTGAACTACAGAAAACTTCCCCCTATACTATAGAAATAGGGAGGGGGAGAGGTGTTTTGTAATCCAAATCAGGCGAGCAGCCTAGGATGACAATGCTGCTTCTCCATAGATACACTATGGTGAGTGAGTGTCATCACTTTTTGTTTTAGCGCCAGAATCACCAGGTGAAAATAAAGGACAACCTAAAAATATAAAATGAATGCAGCTACTGCTTCAAAAAACTGGCAAGCTGCAATATATTCCTTTTTTGTTCTTGGATCCAGGGTTAACTGCTGTCTATGCACACATTGGTTTCCCTCACTTCCTGTCCTCGTCACAACCACTTTTAGGAGGGGAAGTTAAGAGAAATCCTACCGTAAGGGGGAACAAACATAAAACATGACAGAGGTTTCCACTTTTCCCTACTATATGCTAATAAAAATGGTAGCAAGTGAAAACAGAAGTGCTGTGAACTGCTTCTTTCTTAACTTGGCCTGAAGGACCAAGGAAAAAGGACTCCATAACATTTTTACAATTCAGATGGAATGCTTAATGGCAAAATGGATTAAATGAATAGCATGTTACTCTTGTGGACACCTTTTGGTTGTAATATATAAAGTGTACGTATGCCTGAATGTGGCATAATATGAAGTTATTAAAGCGGTACTAAAGTCTGCAAATACTCACCTTCACGACAGTCCCAAACTATTCTGGGTACAGGGTTGTCAGCCTCCTTAATTGGACAAGATGGGATAACATCCATGCACACAGGAGTTGATTTATCCCAGCACCTAAACTGTACACCAAGCTTGCTGTACATGTATAGCTCAATGTGGTATAAAGAAGATTGTAAGGAGGAAGGGAGTATGTCCAGTATGACATAATCTCTTGTGTAATGAAAAAACCTTCCTGCTCATAATTCATAGCTTTAGGATCATAGTTCCGATTTAATAATAGCTATGGAAGCCTTCCTGCAGACCCAATGTCCTTTGAAGCTGCCATGTAACATGCATGCACAAAGAGAAGATGAGCACTGTTACAGAAAACAAGGCTCCAAGAGACTCTATCACATTAACAAATTTAGAGCAAAGTGAAAAAGTCTTGTGAAAGCAAAACTCTTTGCTCCTATGTTTGCTGTTCCTCCATCAGAGCAAGGGATCAAACTTTATAAGCTTGGAGTCAGGTGGTTCAAAACTTGCACAGGGTTAATGTTGTCACCCCCTCCATCATGTGACAGAAATCGAGTCTGGGGATTGGCAGCTTAGGCTTAAGTACTGCATCCTGGGAAGAAGGTCACATCCTCCCCCATAACCAGAA